CAGTTTTGCGAATATGATCAAAGTACGGAACCTTAGTCAAAGAATGCATTTTCAGCGAGTTAACACAGTCAAAAAATGGAGCTGCCAAGACTGAGGGTTAAGCCATTTCGGAATGGCTATGACGGCAAATTAGCTCTATTCAAATGGTATGCCGCAGAAATGTTCGACATTTATATCGTTTTATATGAATTGCCAGTCCTTAAACTCTTTTCTTTTTTAGGATCTTTATATATTACTGTGAGATTCCAACGACCGCACCAAACTTCCTGTTGCCATGTTTCCCATCTCGACCTTCAGACTGAGCTTCAGGACAAGGGTAGTAAAAGGTACAGCATTCTAGTTAAGCTCGTGTCATTTCCGCATTTTTCGAGATTCAGCCCCTCAATCGTTGACTCCCATCAGTCCTGAGTGAAATGCTCAGATTTTTTTCCTGAAAAATTATAGAATTCTGTAACGAGGCAACTTATACACTATGCTTCGTGGACGAGACCTAGAGCGAAGCTACAGCTGTCTTTGGGATGGGAAATAGAATTTTTTTCAGACTTGATAAGGCTAGCTTAAAACCCAATGAGGCGGTCCGCGTTTTCTAACACGCAGCAAGCCGTCAGTCAGTGGATATCACTTCAATATTCAAGTGCCTTTTTGAAGAATTAGAGCTCTTCGAGTGACTCTGGAGGGTCATCTCTGATGCTTTGTTCATGTTAGTTTGAGATATCTTAAAGTAGTGTGTGGAGGAAATGTCTTTTCCAACGCCGAAACCAGAACAGCATCAGGAGAAGGGGATTCTAGGATCTTTTGAGTGGAGAGGTGGATCAGAAGCATTAGGATTCAGATTTACCATTAGGAATAATGCTCATGAGGAAAGGTCCATTTCAGTAGAGTTGTAATAAGTGGTTGGAAACCACTGGTGCTAAGTAATGGCACAACAGAGGGAAGATGGTCAACTCAATTGTGACGTTCTACACTTTCATGAAGTTTCGAATAGTACTCCTGTAGGTCATGCATCTCTATCAACAATCAGGCCACATTTGAAGCCCGAAAGATAAAAATCTTTTGCATCAATCAATCCCGTATTTGGGATGCGCCCTTTCATGCGACCCCATTTGGAAGCGTAGTAACCATTGAATGCGTCGGTGGCTCTTACAATGCTTTGTGGTGGCTAGACGGTGTAGAAGTCCGTGCTTTTACCTTACCCATAATGGTCAGTGGTATAAAGAATTCTCGAAAGGATGGAAGAATTGTTTATCCTAAGCTTCATCGATCAGGGATTTGAACCAGGAGCCATGCGTGTGTGCCATCCCTCCTTCAGATCCTATGCTGTTGAAAGATTCTTGAACGATTTTGGTCCGATTTTTGCAGGGTGATTATAGTTTTTCTTGTCCTTCAAGGTTTCGTGCTCCAATGCTATGGTGCTATGCGTGCCATCAATTCCTTTTTTTTTTCAACTACCTTGCTACTTTCTTTTTTTGCTAACGTTTTTAGAGCAATCATGCCATTATAATGTACATTCGCGGGCGTCCTCACAGAACTTCTAGCCCCATGCATCGCCACTTTTCATTTCATTGAACACCAAAAAATTTTATCAAAACAAAAAAAAAACAAAGCAAAAAATATTTCATGTAAAAAAGCAAAAAAAAAAACCAGAAAATGAACATTTCGGACACATTACACGTAGAATGTTTTTTTTACAACGAGAAAAAATAATATTTAAGACGAATTCAGCAACAACTGTAACGATTGTAATGACGCATTTGATGTAACACGTGATAGTCTAACGATTCCAAGGAGCATTACAATTATACTCTGTTATGATTAGTATCTCTCAGTAACTAAAGCATTCAGGGAAGCACTTTTCTTTTGGGTACAAATTCCAGGACTTCAACTCGTACAACACGTATGTAACGATATTCTCTGGGATAAATTCGTGAGGTCAATATCAGTGTGAACTACAGGGCAGAGAAATCCAGCCTTGACTTTGGTTTTATTTTATGTCTACTGGTCGGTTATCGGGCACAAGACTCAAGGGCATAGTCCAGATAATTTTTGGGCTCCCTTTTTCGTTGATGAGCTGAAGTTTGATGGAGATAATGCAAAGGTAGCGAAAAAAGGGCAGAAATCCGCTAAACTTGTGAAATGCAAGAGTTTTCGAAACGAGTTAAGGAACGGGACTGTATGAGATTATGAGGACGGAACTGGTGTGGATGGGGTATATGATCGAGATTCCGGTCGTGTGCAATTGCATGAAGAGCTGGTTACAGTAAGCAAAAAAATCAGAAGTTGCCCTTCATTGCTGGCGTGATTTGGGATTGCTCGGAATCAAAAACTTTGTGCTGCTTAGGCCTTTACCTTACTATTTCCTGGTATTTGCTATGAATCTTTTCGAATGCTCACAGATATGAGGTGTGCGCGGGGATCAGCTGTGAATTCTCAACATATGTGCTTCATTGTGAATGGTTCAGCCTCTACAAGGCCGTTGAAAGATGGCTACTTCTGAGGATGATGTATAGTGGCTACAATCTTAGAGCCGTTATTACGCCCCGTTTAGGGCGTTTTTCGAACCAACAGTCCATGTGCTATCTGTGTGGACAAAGATTCATGCTAGATTCCCTTGGGCGTTTCGGAGACTGTTAAGGCGTCTTGTAAGTCTATGGTTTACTGTTGAAAAACGACTTCAACTCCTTCAGTGCGGGTCATCCTCTATGGAGGAGGATAGATACATACACAACACATAAGGTCATGCGAGCAGATCAGAACTCACCCTTCTTGAGTTCTTTCTACTCGGTGCACAAGAGTATTGTCCTGTTGGGGAGCCTAGCCTCTTTTTCTAGTTTTTTCAGTGTTGAGATGGATACTCTTAGTAGAATAACGGTGCTGGGCTTCAGCGCTATTCGATTGAGTACTCTCGAATATTAACGACCCTCGTAGGTGAACGTGGTCATCTTGCTTATGCTTATCATGTTTTGCTCTTTTCAGCGATGCGCCATAGTTCCTCTTCATGGAGGTTCCGTTGTTGTTGGCCTATTTGCTGTACGCCCTAGTAGGGGAAACGAAGCTATAAGCTGATCTTTCCTCGTTGCAGTGTCGTATTAGCGATGAAGGAGCAGAAAATTCCTGGAGAACCTGGCTTAGTTAATGAAGAGTCGACAGTCTAGACGGGCGCGACATTGGAGCAGAGAAAAGGTGAATTTCACCCTAGTCAGGTTCTAAACTATAGAAGAGGAGCAAAGCACACAGTACAATTATAGTTGTCGAGCCCCGAGCTCAGTCGTAGGGGCATAGGCCGCAGAGTCACCAAAGTTGCTGATTCTTCGCTCGACTTTGCGGAATAATCTCTCAATTTTCTGCTCCACTGCCTCTTATCTGAAACACCAAAAAAGATTGCTTGGAGTTCGCGCCACTTGGCATTTAACCTTTGTTGTGTTCCTCACTTTGCCAGGGGTTGCGCGCGTCCGTCGAAACTAGGTCACGCCGCAGCCGTCGCATGCCGCGCTGCAGCCCGCGATACTTGACGGATGGGGCATAGGATTAGCACTTGGTCCACGGCAACCAGTTCAAATTGGGGAGACGCTCGTTTGGCGCGATCCCTCCCATCGCACCGCCTATTTCACGCGGTTTGTGAGGTGGACAACTCGTCCAGGCGATCGGGCAACCCATTGCATTTCTAGCTGATAGAAGCTTGATCGATGACGCCGCTACTATTAGATGCCAAATTGCGGACCTGCTTGTATTCTGTCTGTCTACATCGTTTATTTAGCTTTTTCATGGTGCTTGGACGAGTGGTCCAGCCCGCAAACCGCGTCGAATGGGCGGCGCGACGGGAGGGATCGCGCCAAAGACATACACCCCTCAAATTGAAGATAACACGGGCCAGTGCAAATTATTCGCTCTACTGACACTCGATGGGGGTGCATGTCGGTTGGCGCGATGGGCGGGGTCGCCCCGCCTATTTGAGGCGGAGCGACTCCGCCCATCGGGCCGTTCAGCTCGTTCAGATCGCGTAATCTTCTGCTCTCCTCTCCTCTATANTATAGAGGAGAGGAGAGCAGAAGATTACGCGATCTGAGATGTGCGCGCTCCTTCTGAGGCCCATTTGAGGCGGCGCGACTCCGCCCATCGCGCCAACAGACCGGCTCCCCTCGATGGTACTGTAATGTCATCTCGAGACCTCAGTGGGCTGCGCCGCGCGCGAAGTGGGCGGAGTGACCTAGTTTCGACGGACGCACGGAACGGACTTTCCCCCTTTCGCCAGGGGATTCATAATACAGCTCATTATCCCTGGCCAGTATCGGAGTATTTCATGAAGTGGCGAACCCAGGTTTAAAATTGAAGGATTCAAAAGATTTCAACCATCGTCGCAAGCGAATGAGCCAATTTCTATTGAAAGGAGAAGCAACTATCACTGTGTACAGAAAACAGCAACAGCGAAACCATAGCAGTAAAAGCACTATATACTGAGAAGATTACGTGCTCTTCAAATGATTACTGGGAGTAAAGTTGTTGATTGAGCTCAAATGGATACCAATTACAATGGACCACGTACGGGAATTCTTGGCATTTCCCGGGATCAATGCCCATGAGTGTGCGGAGTGCGTCGTGAATAGTCGTGTGGGCACGACTTTGTCTCATCAAAAATAGTATAAAAGAGAAGTTATGGGCCACATAGTTCAAATTTTTTACCTACTAAATACAACTGGTAAGCAATAACTGGAATTCTAATGCATAGAGTAATACAAAGTGGAAATCCTATAGCAATCCTATGGAAAAGTGCAGGATACAAAGCATGGCAGTCATTTCTAAGGCATGGAAAGATTATTGGAAATGTTCCGCCCTGAGTTCGCAAAGAGAAAGACATCTAGTCGTAAAACATTATCGAATTAATCGATCGGATTCCAGTCATTTGTTCAATGGTCGAAGGTCGATCTGAGCATGACCGCTCACCGTTACCCTCTCTTGTCTCACTCCCTTGACAATCTAAAAGGGTTAGCAGGACCTGTCTTGCCCTAGTGGCTTGATGGTGGGTCGCTCGCCTTTCCTTCACTGGACGGGCGCGAATCCCTTCGGGAGAACCATTCCGTTATAGATGACTGAAACAATTGTACTAGCTATCATTCATTGATGGTAAACAAGGGCATAGTACAAAGCATCAAAGGCTTTTTTCACTGAACATTCACAAACCTGGCTTCCCCAAAACCGGTTCTTGAAAAATTCATTGAAGATTGATGTAAGAGCACATAGGAAGGCTGGCACCAGTACCAAACCATGGATTAGTCCCAAAGTGACCACTAGTACCATAGTTTTCACGAACACCTGCAAATTATAAGAAAATCGAGCTTGCTGAAAATCGAGTTCGTCGCGGAAAATAAGTAATCGATATCTTGTGAGTGCATCAGCAAGCCCAGAGAGCGGGTATAGATCTAAGTACGTTTCATATCAAACGAACCGAATGGAAAACTAAGCATTGGCTTTTAAAGTGAAAAGTGCTCGAGGGGTCGAATAAGAAGCCGGCACTCGTGCCAGACAGATGACAGCTTTGATTTATTATGAGTGTATAACTGCTGCTCCGTCAAGAACGAAGATCAGAGACACCGCTGCCAACGTCAAGATTTCGGGGATCAGAAGGGTCGTTATGCGATATTGTGAAGACCGTTGGATCAGAGCGGTTGCTGACTGAATCCTTCGGCACGTCAAAAGGATTCGTCAAACCGGAGCGGCCGCCACTGCGAGGTCAGACTTTTCCACGGAAGTTCTGAACGAAAGGAATGCTATGTCTCGTGCCCCTCTAGAGAGGGCCATCTACTGGTTTACTCTGACTTGCATCAGAGACGGATGTAACGTTAGTGGAGCTCGCTCAAGGAAATCGATGTTTAAGGACGTCAGATGACACGGTGTGACAACCACTCTGATGGTACACATTCCATTTTTTCACCTCCGATAAGGAACAGGCTATTTCTAATTGTCGTAGAGAAAATTATTACCTCACTCATATAAGTTTTCACGAATAGTAGACAAAGAACGAATAATATTGTCGATAGGCCGCACTGAAGGAGCGGAAAACCAATCGCCGAGAGCGACCTGAAAAGAACCATGGTATGCTATCATTTTACTGATCACTTCAGCAGAAGAGGTTGAGAAAAATGAGGCACTGACGTTTCTTGATGAGCGGAAAACTTACTTTGCAACTCTTCTGGCAGGTGTCGAGTCTGAATCCTCCATACCTTCTCTGAAATAGTGAAAAGTGATGTGAGCTGGGAAGTCGACACTGAACCCGATCGACATGATAGTGGTCGCCATTGAAATCGGATCCAAATCGATGCTCCAGAAAGAGAGCAGGCCAAAAACGCCTGCAAAATTCAAGACAACAACTGCGGCCGCAAGAAATGGGATTTGATGTGGAGTTGGTATAGAATAGGAGATTGCTCACCTATACAAATTGATATGATCGACAGCGTAGCGACAACGACGGTAAAGAGGTTGTACATGAACAGAAAGCAGACGATCATCATGCAAACTAATGTGCAGATCGAAGTGGAAATGGTTGCCGGCAACATCGAATCAAGCTGGAATCAGCACGATTTTCCTACCTGGAATTTCGCGACGAAAAATGGAATACAAGCAAAGGAAAAGCAGGGTCCAAGTATCGGCGGAGTCCTTTCTTTTCGAAAGGCAGAATTCGTTCAACTGGAAGTTCAACGGTAGTATTTCATTCAGCAGTCCGCACCTATCTGGGGGAAGTAGGCCGGATGGCTGACAGCCGTCACGATATCCTTCGCGAGGTATGTACTCATCAAGACTCGACCGGCCACAAATTCGGCGTTCGAGTCCATAGTACAATAAAATGTGAATTATTCGATACCTGACACGTAGATGTTCATCACCCAGACGAAGGAGAGGGGGGAAAGTGGGAATGGGGAGGGGAAGAGGATTGGGAGCAGGGTTGTGGTGATGATGGGTGAGGTGAGGGGGAATTTTTGAAGTGATGGCATTGGTAGCACCACTGAATAAGTGTTCTCCGGCTCATGAGTGTAGACAATAAACGGCTCGCGAAGACGGGTCTCTGTCTGAGCCGACTTGCTGTTCTTTCACTTTCGGACCTTTTCATGAGAAGAGAAGAAACTGTTGAAAAAATCAGGCTGAATTGCCTGTTATGTACTCAGAGTTGATACTATTTTTTATCTTGTGAAGCGTTACCTGATCCAAAAACGGTGCGTAATCATCGAATACAGACACATTCAAATCCGGAAAACTGTCACATGTGTCTCGCCACCTGAAGTGCACGAGTTCATGATATCACGGTATAACGCCACGAATATTATCAAAATGAGCTGGGTCGTACCTTTCTAAAAGCGATTTCCTAAACACGTTATCTCCCATCAGTTCTCCATGATAGGAGACTGTCGCCCAGATGCAGTATAACCTGTTTAAAATGTTTTATTTTCGATAAATTTCTCCTTATTTTGGGGTTTGAGAAAAAAAAGAAGCAAGGCAAAATTTGTGGAACATATAGGAGTTCAAAAGAGCTTATGAAGGAAATCGACCGTCCCATCTTAACCAGTAGACCACCAGCAAGACAGATGTGTCCAACAAAAATAGATAGCAGTAGAGTTTGATATTGCTAACCTTACGAAACCGACCACTCTCCCATCGAAATATCATTTCATCACTGCTGAGAGTTTCAACCTCACGCTCGAAATAGTTAATCCAGTCCAGTTTTGGATAGGAGTTACCATAAAATAGACAGTATAAATAATAATCTAACTGTATTGGGCAGAGGTGATCTAGTGGCAAGCGCTCACTCAGACGCATTTTCACGAGTTCGAATCCCGGATGGATATCCGTCTAAGACAACCAACCCCTCCATCCCTCCGGGGTCGGCTAATAGATACCAGATCCGCCCGGAGTCTCAAGTTATTGTGAGGCCATATTTGCATTCAATAGGCCTCTGTGTTCTGAATGGTTTCGGGCAGGATCGCATCCCTCAGACGAGCTTAATCAGCGCGCAAAGACTCTATTCTTTATCCTTCAGTTATAATTATAAAAATGTTGCGTCCAGAGAGAGAGAGAGAGAGCGGTGCTGACGATAGTCTCCTAAGAAGGCTAGAAATGTTCGCGAACAGCCGGAAAGAAGATTTTCCTCCGTCATTCCGTTGAAAGAAGACATAGAGGGTGTGGGAGGTGGCTTAGGGGAAATGGGCAGCGCTAATTCATATCGCTTGAATGAGAAAGATTTTTTGGTTCGATGTCCATGCCGGTGCATTCATCCATTTGCTTTTTTACTTTATATTTGTTACTATTGCTCAACTTATACATCTTTTTATTGTGTTCAGATATGTATGGGTGCACCCCTTGGTAATGCTTCCCATAGGTCTGAGGGACGGTATGCTAACGAGTGAACTTTCCGTGTGTCATGAGCACTACATCCATCAGGATAGCGTTGCGGGTTACATTTTCAGCTGGGAACCAATTCCTTGGTCTGTCCCACTTTCTACATCCCAAAAATGAATTACCTAGCTTTAAATTTAGTGCTCATTCCCAAACTTCCATCAGAAATAGAAAGGAAAAGCATGAAAATAAGTTTTCTGGTAGGAAAAACCATCAATTCTTTGTACTCACTTTCCATGATCATCGAATTTGACAAAGCCGTTCCAGTGCTTGAATTCAGGCCACGAGAAGAATGGCTGCATGGCTTTCAGAGTAAAAATATCTGTTGGATCTTCAGTGATGCCAAAAGACTTTTCTTCCTCGAGCTCCACCGTTTCGCGATAAAATTTGTAGTCACTAAAAAATGTCACTCTATTCGAATCATTTTCCTAGCTAATATTCCAATGAAGGATGGCGGGGGTGGTTTGATGGCAAGTGGTGCACTATCACACACCCATGGTCACTTGTTCCCATTCCGGATCGATATCCGCCTAGGCCAATACGTCACTACGATTCTGAATAGAAGTCGAATGTGTTGACGAGTTCTGTCTGAGGACGTATCCCTCAAACAGAATTCATCGACCCCTAAAGGCTTTATCCTTCGAGGTTTCACATTACAATCTTATCAGGTAACAAAGCGATGTGACCAAGAGTAGCAAACTAGAGCCAGAGTTGTACTGTTAGTTGCTGAACGGAGCCTGTCGGAATTTCTTGTCTATCCTTTGGTAAGCTGCTACTGCCCAAGATCAGCAAAATGCCTCCGTGATGATTGAACCGGACTCGGTACCCCTCTTGTAGTCAGCTTCTACTCGGGTTGAGATGTTTGGAGCCACACATGACGTGCAATTTAACTGGTAATGATTACCTATTGAAGTGATCATATTGGTATTTGGTGCTATGTACACATTAGGTCTCCGAAAGCGGAAAGGTCGATTAGACTCTTGGAACTACGGATAATTGTTGGATTCGTTACTTACGTAAGACCCTTCAATTGTTTTTCTCTCCTTCAACAAATTACTGAATAGAAACGAAACAGATTTGAATATTTCTTCCCCACCGAACGAAGTAGTGACTGAAGTTTGCTCCAAGGCATTCCGGGTATGATTCAAAGCTTTCGATTAACCGATTCACCATATCTAGCCTGTCTGGATCGTTGAGATTACCTGGCTGTAAAAGTAGAGGCTACAGACAAGTTCTCGACATCATTTAAATGTAACTAAAAGGAACTTGCATTTTGGATAAAAATGTTTGCTGTCGTATAGTTAACAAGTATGAATTGCTCACGGTAATAATTCATCTGCAAGACCAAAGATATTCAATCTGGGATATGAGAAATTTGTAAATAAAATAAAATTCGTAGTTACATGAGAAGAGTAAAGGGATTGAAGCAAACCGAAGTGCCAATTACCCATCCCTAAGGTTCGGTATCAACTCATTCCAACACTTTTGCATACAGTCAGTAACCCGAGCTAAGCTAACAAGGGAAGGATACCAGGTCGCAGTGGCCATTTAAGATGAGATGTATACCGACGTAGGTAGTTTCGAACGCTGAACTCAAATCTGGGTTCCAAATCTGTGCAACGGTTACGGGAACAAAGTTATGAGCCACCTTTCCCCAGACGTCATGTCACTTTTTTGCTTTTATACGAGAACCAAGCGATACCGAACGTGCAACCATGGCGCAGTTGGGAGGACTGGTGGACATGACACGGAGGTTCAAAGCCTTTATGAATGTGTTTGTTTTGCATTTTAATAAAAAGTGTCCTAAACGCTTGAAAAACCCTTTTAATCATCGTATAGACCATTTACAGCCCTCCTTCACATTTACGAAGCACCACTAATGCTAGTACAAGTGAACTTTATTAGTCGGCTCCACGGACAGAATAGGGAGAGGTGCACAAAGAACCCTTCTGCTCCCGGCACTCAAGATTTGGTTAAAAGTTCAGCAGCTCCATGCACTTTCAAAAGAGGGATGTCCGATGACTCGTCAGGGTATAGCGTTTTTTATGAAGTGATCCCCCTCTATGGGTAGAAGTGAGCTGGTACAATTCAGCTGACATTTTTATGCAAAACTACTATCGAAACAATAGGTGAGCATTTTATGAAAATATATGATGAGCCAATACAAAGTGTTTGAAGCAGAAAAGCTTCTCACAATGTGAGCAACGCATGATAGAGACATCACCACACCCGTAACTCTCGCTGTCTAGTTGAGATGGTGAACATATCCTACAGGAGTTTCAAATTCTACCAGGTTCCTATTCAAGTACCCTGACCCTGAGACAGTGCGCTTATATATGGCTTGAAGTAGTAAGAACAATACACATCGAGAGGCCCAGTTTGAGAAGTTGTGTCAGGTAGATAGTGAGCACTTTCACTTCCTTGCCAGTTGGCAAAGCACCCTAAATCGCTTCGTAGTCCTTGAACGAGCTAGATGAGTCAACGACCAGTAGGGTTGAAGACAAACCTGTTGATACAATGCACGTTCTAACCCAATCAAGCATGAGTTCATTGCTCATCAAGTAGGTTGTATTGGCCCTGACCATAAGTGCCGGGAGCGGAAGGGTTCCATGTGCACCCCTCCCTATTCGGTCTATTTAGTCGACGAAAAAATTTACTTGTATTGGTATTCCAGGTGCTCCGTAAATGTGAAAGAGGGCTGTAAATGGTATATACGATGAATAAAAGTGTTGGTTGCACGCGCCATGGTTGCATGTTCGGTACCGCGTGGTTCTCGTATAAAAGCAAAGAAGTGAAATGACGCCAGGGGAAGGGGGCCCATAACTTTGTTCCCAGAACCGTTCCGCAGATTTGGAACCCAGATTTGAGATCAACGTTCGAAATTACCTATGTCGGTATACATCTCATCTTAAATGGTCACTGCGACCTGGTATCCTTTCCTTGTAAGTAAGCTCCCTTACAGTGACTTATGCCCAATTTTAGTGAATTTCACTAGTAAACGATCCCACTTCTAATGGTACTTCGAATGGAAAAGTAGGAAAACCTATAATCTGGATTACTGAATACTATCATGTGACTAGAATCGCTCCAGCTCTGTGCGAAGGTATTTCTTAACAGCCTCTCACGTCTATGGTAGGACTGTGCAGGGAAAGTTGCTGAACAGAATCAAGCAGCGACCCGAGTCCCAATGTTTTGGTCATCATTTAAATACTAAATTCTATCAGTTTGCTTCGGTTTCCTTAAACCTCTAGTTCACCGTTTACGTTAACAATGCGGTCCGAAACTAGGTGAAGAGTTAGAGGAACACGGTGTATCAAATGTAACTACTGTCGAGCGATGAAATTTATCCGTCTTCATATCCAGTAGGAAAGGTACCTTAATAAGTCTGGAGTCTTTTAGCACTAGCTTGTCAGCTGTCAAATTGATTTCAATTTGTAGGGCGCCGACGATGCTGATGAACCAGTAACAGCATAGTATTATGAAGAGGAACACAGCAGTGAATTTGTTAGCCAACCACTGGGAATATTCGTCAAGGATGAAGGAAAACTAAACATTTATTCTTGTCGCAATTGTGAAGAACAGGAAGTAGTTCGAGCGGCCACTGACCTTCTCAACTTTCAAATTGTTCCACTGCCGTACTTTGTTTGATTTCGAGGTCTCTCGCATCTGTAAATCGCCTACGATCGAAAGCAGAGCGGCGAATATTGTTATCTGAAATCACACACCTACACAGATCGATCCATACGACTTTTTATTTGTTAGGGAGAAGGATGGGCGGAGATGGTGTAGTGGCAAGTGAAGCACTATCACACACACATGGACACGCAGTCGATTCCCGAATCACTAGCCGCCTAGACCGACCCGGCCTTCCATCCCTTGTTGGGGTTGGTTGATTGGCACCGAACTCATCTGGAGGGTTGAAAGCACTGACATGGCGACCGCAAGCCATTGTATTGGCCATATACGCTTTCATTACGCCACTACCATTCTGAATGCAAGTCGAATGCGATTGCGCATCTCTCAGGCAGAAATGATTAATGCCTAAAAACTTTATCCTTCATCCCTCTTGGAAAGATGCCTTATAGACGAGTAGGGGGATAAGCATGAACGTGATTTGTGTGGACGAACGTCCCGTACAAAATAGACGGCACAAACTTCGAATCACTGTTCGTGATAATCAGACTACCGGCCGAGTTGATGGCCACTCGAATTTCCTCCCGCGTGGCTAGACAATTTACTTAGGCATCCAATCCATTCATGGCATGGCATCTAGCCAGAAAACCCTTTCACTGGTGGTACGCGCACTCATTGACGCTGTTGGAACACCTTTTGGCGTTTCCTACAATAACGTCCGCTCCTTTTTTTTCTGTGAACTTATCCTTGCCTCGGAACTGTGAGGTATTTTCTTGGTTTAGTCAGAATTTCGAAAGTGGAAGTGACGAATCACTCCCAGGAAGTGTGATATAGGGCCTTCGCGTGTCAGCATGTTACGTCGCCCTATAGTCGCATGAAGGAATGAGGGACAGAGACTGTTTATTGACGAGGTCTTCAGCCGCCGGCCCAACGTAGTTCTTTGAGTTTAAAAGCAACCTTCCTATTTGCAAGGTGAAAAAAAAGGTGAAAAAAGGTGAAAAGGGTGCCCACGGTTTCAGTGCGGAAAGCAGTCAGAATGCCAAGCTGTAACGATTATAGATTGTTTATCCAATCAATATTCGTAATATGAATACCTGGTAAAGAAAATCGAATAGTATTGCGAAGGCGTTTCCAAAGCAGAAGACCTGTATTTCCGGTGTTGGCGTGTAGTAACCAACCAGAAAAGCGAAGAAATTCGTTAAAGAGGTGATAGTCACAGACGGTCCTACGTCCACCAGCATGTGCGCGACTCTCAAATACATAGAGTATTCGTCGAGTCCTAGTTTTTGAATTTAAATTAATTCATTCTGATCTTTGATGAGTTCGCGTGTGCGTTTAATTAACCATCATCACAATTAATTAAGGTGTAATAGAAAAGAATGTATGAAGTAAAAAAATCCAGTGATAAGGTGAGTGCTTCAGCCGGAAGTGGCGCGCGTTACTTCCGCTCGAGTCATGTGAACAGCATGCGCTATCGAGAAGCAAAAAATACTACCGTGGGGGGGGG